AAGTCGAGCCCATAACGTCGAGGCCGTGTGAAAATCCAAGGTTGCTCCTTTCTGGTGTCCTACTCGACGTGACGTCGAGTCTAGACGTCGAGGGGGAGTGATTCTTCAAAGTTGGTTCCTTTTGAGCACCTACTCGACCTGGGGTCGAGTCCAAACGTTGAGCCCATGTCTTGGTTGTTTCTGAGCACCTGCTCGACCTCCCGTCGAGTCCAACCAGTCTTCTGCACAGGGTGATATGTCTCCATTAAAACGACCATAATTCTTGCATCAAAGCTCTGATTCGCTTGAAATCACCTCCGTTGGAAAGGTAACTCAATTTCCTATAACTTGTATGAAGAGCTCTGAAGCTAAATCGCAATGAAAGACTTCCATCTGAGTCGAGCTTTGAGGGACTTCAGACTAGTTCTGAATCATCAATTCTCTTCTTTGCATCCATTAAGTCCCAAATAAGCTCCAAATACCTGAAACACGTCCAATATGCAATATGCTATGCCATGCAATGCAAATCTTACTAACTGATGAAAAGAGTAAGAGAAAGACTATGAATGCAATGAAATATAGAGGAAACTTAGCTAAATACACGAGAAAAATATGCTTAAAAGCGGTTAAATACAGAGATATCAACTTGTCACTACTCAGGGAATTTTGGTCAAGCCTCACCTCAAAACTTCTTACTCGATAGTACTCTACATATTGGATTACTATTCTCAAGCCCCTCACGGACAAGACATTGGAAAAGGATCGTTTGTTTCTGTTAAGATATACCTTCCATATTACCGTTTACTCCATATGGAAAGAAAAAAACAGTAGAAGACATGGCGAAAATCCATTTCAATCAATCCACTTACTAAAAAAGCTAGACAAGGATGTTCGAAACAGGAAATATTCCATAAGAGAGCAAGGAGATGGAAGATATAAAGAATGTATGGCAGTTTGGTTTGCAACAAGATAAGAAAGATCTGTTGTTTCTTTTTACCCATTTAGCATCTGATTTGTCAAAACTTTAATGTTTTCGCTGCACTTGATGTAAAAAAGATTTTTCGAATAAATTTTGCATTTTATTCAAAGATGAAAAAAGGGGGTTTGGTTGACTTTTTGGATCTATAAATTCTCGAGAGGCATCTAATCCACTCATGCATAGTTAGATTAGGATTAATTAAACTTAATAATTTTAATAAAATGTTTCTTTTACAGTGATCCTTGTTTTGTAATGGTATGTTGCTTTAAAATGTCACAAACGAAAACCAAAACCTTAACAGTTGATTCGTTCCTCCTTTTACAGTTGTGCTTCACAATCATATATAAGAAAAGAGGTCATTTCTCTCCATTAGTTTGCCACGTCAGCACACAAATGATTGACATGTGTACACAATATTTTTTAACTTTCTGGTGATAAAGTCATTTAGCCAATTAAAAACCGCCACCTATGATCTCCAATTTTGCGATACTCTTACAATCGTTTCGGATTCACTTCGAAAAAGCCACCGAAGCGTCCCCATCTCTTCCACTGTTAAACAAAACGTTTCATATGTTCTTTTAAGGGTTATATAAATTTAAATCCATAGATGATTAAAAAATTAAGAATACATACATGTATTTTATATAATTAGTTCTCTCTCATCAATTTGTATAAGTTGGACGAAATTGCCCTTCCGTATGTAACAAATTGTTTAGCGATGTAATAAAATAGTTATCGAAAGATAAACTGATACTAGCTTCGGTCAAATTTCCGGTGACAAATCAGTTGCAGTTTTAGATAGTTAATTATTTTGTTAGCTTGATATCTATTATTTGTTTATCAAATACATGGGTAAGAACATCTTATGAGTTAACTTACTATATATTCGATTAACATGATTATAAAATATATACATATCTTAATAAGTTTCTAAATATATCATGCTAAATCATATTGTATCGCGATAAGTTTATAATTTATGTGATAAACTCATATTTATCGTGGTAACTCATTTGTTATGTCATATACAAAAAATAACAAGTTACAAATAGTATAATGTTTTGTGGATAACTATTTGATTAACATGTTAACTAGTATAATATCGTAATAAATTTATATGTTAAATGCATAGTTATCCTGTTAAATCAGTTATCATATTTATGGCACCACAATAATCTCATTCCCAGCTTTTCTAAGAAAGAGTATACCAAGAAGAAGATGAAAAGCATCACATGTTCGTGAAGACCACCACTGTCATAAACTTGAACCACCACACGTCCACACGTCCTCCGTCGCTGTCTCATAGGTTTACAATTCCGCCAAAAAATTGTAAACCACCACCGAGATTCGAATCCACCACCGCGTCCTGGCCTTGACCTTCATTGAATCAAAATCGGAACCACCATTGATTCACTATCAACCGTCTCTCCGCCACGAAATCAAATCGACCAATATCTTTTACAAAGAGAACAAGTAGAGTAGGATTAAAATCAAACTTTTCACACTCCAAAAAATTAATTAGCTTGACCCAACTATCATCAATCTCGCATACTTAATCAATTTCGGTACCCATCTTATCCAACCACGTTTTTGATAGGAAGTGTATCAAAATAATCTCAAGTTATGAATCTCCATCCAACATTTATAATCTGGATCTTCTTCTTCCACCACCATTTCTTCTTCTTGATCTTTTTTATTGACTTCTCCTTCCCGCAGAGAACACAAACAAGAGAGAGAAAGATGTATATTGAAGATAGGGGTAAAAAAGTCTAAAGTTGTTGTACAGTATATAATAAAGTTGGAGAGGAAAGAGAACTAATTTCTCATTCTTCTATGGGTAGATCTTCGTAATACCCTTCTTTTAAACGTTTCATATGTTCTTAATAATTATAGGCCATAAAGAAACGAAATACCTATCTATCTCCATCTTCGTCTGTTTTGCCTTTTGTGATTATCCTCATCCTTCAAAGAATCTGATCCACTTCGTTTCATACCAAACCTACAATTCGGGTGAACAAGAACATTTCGTATGAATGTAAGGTTTGGTTGATATGGTGTAACTGTGACGTTAGCTAGCGACTTCATTAATCGTACTATACGCACATCAGATATGTGGGCGGTAGCCTTGTTTCGCAACTTTAACGGTGTAAGTTTCTGTCAAAGCAGTCAGTAAACAACACAACATATATGTTAAGTTGAGATTTCCATTACTATTTGTAGTAATTTTGGTTTAAATCCTCTGTTTCACTATATTTTGACGTTAGGGTTTCACATTCAAATCCATGGTTTCAATGGAGCTTCACATCTTCCTCTCTTCTCGGCTGTCCACTTCCAAAAAACATTAACTTGCTGCAGAGGGAAGATAACTTAGCAACGCAGCCACATAGACAGCAATACAAGATCCATGTTTAAATCGAGTACTTACTGGCGATATGCGTTTTTACTGGCTCCTATGCGTTTTGGATCTTTTAACCATGTGACCTACCAAAGAAGATGACGGTGCATCTGATGACCTGAGCCAATATGTGCCCAATGCTCAAATTATAAACTTACGACATAGCCAAAGATGCAGTTGTGTTATACACCTCTTTCCCTACGTCCATTGAGCGAAACCATCTCGTAGCTTTAACAACGGTGGATGGATTCACATTCTTTAGCTAGGCACCTGAGTGTTGTTATTTGCATCAAGATGGGAGTCGAAAACTATAGGAAAAAATCTAAGTTAGGAGTTGTATGGGTGTGGTTTGTCTTGGAAAGCATTAATTAGGTTTACCAATTTTCTAGTTGGCTGGGAGAAGCTAAGAGTGTTTTACTCATTAGCTATATATATTTGTCAGGCGTTCATCACTTGTGGAAGATTTCAGCTGCAAGGGATATTGCCTTGACAAGTAATTAAAGAAAAACTCTCACTTCTTATAGCAGTTTTAATGTTTGTCCAAATTATCATTTTCTTTTGTACGTATAGCATCAAATGTACGTGTAACTTCTTTACTTTGTTTGTGTTTCTTTTATAGGAATGAAAAGAACTTTCGATTTAGAAGAACTGTTCATGAATTTAATATGGTCTTTTTTGCTCAACCAAATGCTACTCTTCTCGTAGCAACAAAAATAATCTACGTAACAATTTTTATGTATTCACCTAGTAACATTTAAAAGTACTAGTATGTTATTTCCTTATATATCACTAATTAAAACTCAATACTAATCAAAACCAAAAAAATTAGGGTAACAAAAAGAAATTAGGCGAGGTGAGTGATTGACCATCATCCAATAAAAAATGAATCTATGTACAAAGTACAAACACAGTTTGTTTCCGCAACAAACAATGTTAACATATTAACTAAGACCATCTCCATTGTATTCGGCTTTTTTATTTTAAAATAGAGTAAAGTTTCTCTTCAATATATCACTCTATTTTTTTTTAATAATATATATATAGTTACTCCAAAAATAGAATAATATTATTTTCTCTATTTTAGAATGCGATATAAAATAAGGTTAGAAAGAATTTTAATCTACAGTAGAGTTAAAGAGAAAAAAAACAATGTTACAAAAACAATCATTTTTCAATCAACTTTATATTCCTCATCCTCGTAAGCCTAATCACTCGTTCATGTAATAAACTTTGTCGCTTGTTCACATAAGTCTAATTTCTCATTCATATAAACCATATTGCCAATCCACCTAAGCTTAGGATCTCAACCACATATATCTAATTACTCGGCCACATAAACCTAGTACCTCGGATCGATATACAAGTCATATTGCATAATAAATATATATATATATATAATATAATATATATACTTATTCATAATACATTGATAAATCTGTTCTCTCACAGTGAAAAACGAAATTAAATAAAGAAGTTGGAACGTTTTTCAAATTTATTGCCATACCTTCAAATAAAAAAGATTCATAAACCTTTGTAAGCAAACATGTTTGAATCTTGAATTGTTATAAAGAAAATGAATAGTTGCTTAAATTTATTAAAATTTTAAAACGATCCTCTTTAAATAAATGATAAAGTGCATCTAATCTTTCAGTTTCCATTATTAAAAATTATTGAAAAGCAAATCAATCCCAAAGAGATTGTTTAAAACATAACATTTGCGAATATTTTAGAATAGAAAATAGAATGTTGAAAGATAAATTCAAGGTTCTGGCTCATCATTTCCAGATTCCGTCTCCATATCTTCCAAATTATCGGATTCTGTCTCCTCATCGTCAGAACTCTCAGATTCCGTCTCCGACTCTCCTTGTTCTGATCTCGTCTCCTCATCATATCGTTCCGGAAATAAGTTGTTTCTTTCCACTGATAGTAAAAGGGGGTCGTCATGGCTTGTCATACAAATAAAAAAAAAGTTATTCGAAGAATAATTGTGTTCTCAAATAATATATGAACTATTAATAAAACATACCAAAAGTAACACAATTGTATATTTAAATCTAAAATTTTAATTTCTAAAACTAAATCCTAAACTTAAATAGTGTATATTTGTTTATAATTTTAAAACAATTAAATTTATATATATTTTTAGTTAAACAAAATATAGTTGAAATGAGGGAGAAATATAAATACAATGTAGCATATATTTCACTGAACAATAAAAATCCAAGAACTAGTAAGATAAAACAAAATGAAAAATGTTTCAGATAAAAGAGGTAATAGTGAGTACCGTAGTATCCTGAGAGGATCCGGACCAAAATCAACATAGCAGACTGGACAACATTTCCAGTCATGTTGTGTTATCTTGCCATAAATGCATCTCAAGCAAACTGTTTACAAAGATTTAATAAAAAAAATTAGGTTAAGGTATTGAAATAAAATTTTAAAAATATAGATATTCAATCAAAACAAATGAAACATATATGAATCAAATGATTAAAGCGGAAAACATATATGTAGTGAACAGTATATCTAAAGAGAAGAACGAGTTTAAAGATAACTAAATAATTCATACATATTTATATGCATATAAAAGATCTAAAGATTATAAATATACAAAGGATATAAAGCATAAATGAAGGCTCACACCAATTGATTCTAGTATTAGAAGAATTTAAGGTCGGAAACAACCAATGAGATAGGTAATGAGATGAATTTTGGACAGACATCGACTAATTCTCAATTATATTATTAAAAAATTAGATTATTTTTTTACTGTTAAGGCATATACGATATATAGTTAATGGTCATAATACATTCAAATCCATATAAAATAATTTAATTAGAGGGAATTGAGGGCTTACATATGTGGTTGCATCTCTTTAGGGCTGTGGCTTGGTCCAACAAATTGTAACAGATCGCACAACTGTACAGCTTCCTCATCTCATCCTCCATCTTTGTTTCTTACTGTCTCTTCTCAGATCCTACCAACAACAACAAAAACCAAACGAAATAAACCTTTTTTGGAATAAAAACCGGATATTATATTTCAATATGATAGATTCTTTATGAAAAAACTTTATTAGAAAATCTCAACATCTAATATAAATATATAACATGATTATTTGATATTTAATATCTAAAGGGTGAGATAATTTTCTAGGTTTAAATTAAAACATAAACCGTTAACGACCGTTGCCCGCGCTTTTTTAAAAGAAAAATTTTGCTTGCTTCTATTCATAATCTGAAGTTATTTGTTTTCAGTTTTCATAGTTGTTTTATAAGAAGATCTAAATGCTTATATGATTATTATGTGTTTGTTGGATCTATTTGTTTAATAATTGTAGTAGAATATGTTAGTATTTAGTTTGCTATGCCTATTTGTTTGAGAATTACTTAGCTTATCTATAAGATATATGAACAATTGCATGGAGAACAAAAGAGATAATTATGTGTCAAACTGGTGTTCTTCGTAGATAAAACTACTAGATCTGTAGTTTTTACAACTACAATAGAGAGAGAAATATAAGTTCGTACAGATCTACAAGATAAAAAGGATCATATATAATAGCTTTGTCTTCTACAAAAACTTTTGTTTGTTTGAACTATTGTAAAGATTTGTTACAAAGCTAAACAAATCAATTGTAAGAAACTACAAATCTATTGTAAAATTGAAAAGAAAAGAGAGAAATATAAGTTCTTACAAATCTACAAGATAAAAAGGAACATACCTTTGTCCTCTTCGTAGCAATGATAGCCTATATGACTGCTGTTTTATGTTTTATAAATTCCATCTTGTAACAATGATATATATATATAGTGTCAAAATAGAACTTTATGTAAATTAATTTATTTTAAAATACTTCATATTTCATTTTAAAATTAAGAAAGAAATATTTTTTTTCTAAATTTCCATAAACGGAGGACTAAAGTTCATGAATCAAATATTCCTAATAAAGTGCAAGACCCAATTCAATTTTAGCACAATATAATATAATGTAGACAGATTGTAGAATTAGTCTATATATTAAATTATTCCAAAAAAAAAGCACTCTTTTCAACTTAAAATAATTAAGTTCTTAAAATTTATCTTTTATACCTTTTACTTCTTTTTTTTTTTTTTTTTGAAATATCACAGCTGGCCATATGAAAAACAGTTTACGAATATTGACTTATGTCTTAATATTCATATTAAGGAAAATAAATATAAAATTGGTAGATTATGTAATTTTGTTTTTTGAACACCGATTATGGAATTTCTATATTATTTTTTTGCTGTATATTATTTATTCAAACTTCATACATTAATGGTTCCTTTGACTACCATATACAGTATTCATCTTTATCACTACATAGAAATTAGTTTCTTACAAAGTAGTGACGTCCGACATGTTTAGCTTTCACCACATCTTAGTATAATTTTAAATACAAATTAAGGTTACTACAAAAAAAAATTGTTTTTATATTTTATCATTTACTTTAACCTTTTAATTATAAGATATCAAAGTGATTTCAGTTTTATTATACAAATCTTTTAGTTTATATTGCAAAATTATATAAACTAAATGTATCAAATTTTAGTTATAGGGGTGCTAATATTTCCATAATCACAAATCTTTCAATTTTGAATTTGACCATTTCAGTTTTTCTAATTTTGTTTATTCTTTATAATGAAAAAGAAATTAAGTTGGCAATTAAAGTGTTGCCTTCAAACTTACTGATATTCTTACGTTTTACTTAAATATATACTAGAATGCACAACAGTTCAGAATAGTATATGAGGGATAAAAACCGCATATACCAGATAAAGCAAATGCAGTATTTTGCTTATGAAAAATATATAATAATGTAGAACTTTTGAAGAATCTATCACAAAAACTAAAGATCATTGTTGCTTTGTAGATGGCTCTCGCATTTGTAGACCTTGGAATCCACCAAAGGTTTACAACTCAATCAAGGCTTATGGCTTGAGTGAAGGGGATGAAGGTAGAAGTAGACTCTGACAGATAGTGATTGATCCGTGTAAGGGATGAGCTTGTTGACTTCCTAGGAGATTCCATGACTAGAAAAACGAAACTCTAGACTCATTTCGCAAGGGATAACCACGCTCAATACTTAGATAAATAAAATCTGATGATGAACCAAGAGATAATGCACAAAGTTTTTGTCAAAAAAACTCTCGAGTTTATTTTATAAAATGATTCGTAAATTACAAAATTAAAAAAAACAAACTAAAAGAGCTTATATAGGCTCAGTCAGATGTTCTAAAATGCTAAAGAACAAAATAAAAGGTTGCAAAATTATAAGATGTGGCCGTTATGCTTAAATAAGCGTATCTAGGCGAATAAGGAAAGTTGTGGTATCTTGAGTCTTGAGAGCTTGGGAGCGACTGCATGGTGTCTAGGTACATTCTGTATGATGGATAATGTAGGAATTCTTTATCACAGGTCAAAAAACGTAGGGAAACAGCCGTTGGAAAATTAACTCTTTCAACCCAAATAAGGTAATTAGTTCAGCTCAAGGTTGATCCACGTGATCAAGTGGGGTTTGGACTGTTTGGTTCAGCTAGGCTCGTGTGGTGAGGTTTCTAGGTGAAATGGAAACTCTTCTGGGCACTACACATGATTCTCCAAGGACCATTTAAGGAAAGATCTAAATCACATAGGATTTGGCCCATGGGGAGGACCAAAAAGGCAACTTTCAAACCAATTCGAAACGGGCATGTTCGAACTCAATCAATCTTCTCCCAGTGGTTTCTTTACATGGCTCAGTTAAGGCTCATGGTAAGGGTTTGTGAACGAACTCCAAATCTAATCCATCCAATTGGAGTCTAGCTCAATCATTATTCACAAAATATGCATATTTCTCAAGAATATTGAAGCCAAGATGAAATTGGTGGGTGAAATTGGCTCGAGATGATTTACATAGTTCTGTTAAGGCCCAAAGTAAGGGTTTGTGAACCAACTCCAAATCTGATCGATCCAATTTAAATATGACTCGATCACTCTTCACAAAATGGGCAACTTGGAGATGGATTTTGATGCCCACTCCATTTGGTCGAGTAGAACTTCATTTGGTCTAGTATCTCCTTGATGGCTCGATTTGGGCGGTACAATGATTGTACAAGCTTATCTGGTCAGTTCCTCATCAAGCTTGGTACTAATACGTATATCAAACAAGCAGGGATAGAGTCGACATTATACAACAAAGAGGGTGAACTGATCATAAAAAGTGACCCAACAAGTATACCACTGGAAGTTCAAGTTGAAGCCATGCATATGGAAGTCCTATCAAATTAAGAGATTAGGCTTCACAAGAGTTACATTTTGTAAAGACTCAGCTGCCCTCTACCATCCTCTTCAAGACCCAAATGAACGCCAATGGAATTAAATCTGGAGGCACACATCGACTTCTATCTATACAAGGATGTTTTACAATTAGCTAAAAGATGGGGCAAGTTTAATTTGAAGAAAACCCTTAAGAGAGCAAACAATATAACTGATGTCATAGTAAAAAAATGTTAGAACGAATATTGATAATTATGTAAGACCATCTTTATCAATGGGTTCTTAAGAAAATCTTAAGATGATCTTAGTAATTTTTTTATTATTATTACTAAGAACCAAAGTTAAGATTAACCTCTTTTTGGCTCTTAGGTAAGCAACTCCCTCAACTCATCTTAACTTTGGTTCTTAGTAATAATACTCAATAATTACTAAGATCATCTTAAGATTTTCTTAAGAACCCATTGATAAAGATGGTCTAATATATTAACATGATGTAAACCTGCCACGAGACTGGCAATTCCCCTATGTAAACCTGCCAGTGGCCGTGCCTCGAACCCTAGTGGCGGAAGTCACAGCTGTGACCCCTTTACCACAAGGCCACAAGACCTCTATTCGTAAGTCAACTAAATCAGGTTGCCATTGGATGGCCTTTATTTAATAATTCAGCTGATTGGTTGGGAGCTACTTTCTAACATCTTTGGATCGAATCTTGTCGGGTCAGTTAATTTTAGAAGTTGAAGAATAAAGATAAAATAAATGGGACCGACCTCATTGAAGAATCCAACTAACTTACACCCAACTCACACAATCTCGGTCTATTAATAACGCCCAAAGACCAAACCAAAGACCAAAAACATTAAAAAAAAAAAAAAAACCTTAGATAACAAAGTTGTGTCTCTCTGAACCAGAAAGATAAGACAAAAAGGAGATCAATGGAGGAAGAATACATAAGAGTAATAAACATAACAATTATTGGAGTAATCTCATGGGGTCTCATTTTCATCCTCATAAGACGAATTTTCGCAAACTACTCTTTCGACTTCAGCACTCGTATAGTCTCGACGCTTCACGCAACAACTGCTGTCGTTTTAGCAACTCTCTCGATTCAAGATTGGTCTTGTCCTGTTTGTCCCATTGCTTCAACGTCATCTCTCCGGCAGATGGAAACGTTGGCGTTTTCATTGTCATACATGATCTATGATCTCATATGTAGCCACTTTGATCAAGTCATTAGCATTGATAATGCTGTTCATCATTCTGTTTGCATTCTTGGTTTTGTAGCTGGACTTTTCTACCAAAAGGTATTCTTCGATCCCCACTTTTATTTTGTTTTAAATGGTAACTTGTAGGCTTGTAAATTATATACTATGAAATTTTGGATCTTAGTTAAGTAGAAACTTATTTTGTTGTGAATTTATGGTGGATTTAAAGTGTGGATCCGAGATGGTGGCAGCACTTTGGATAACAGAGATCTCGAGTCCGTTTCTTCACCTCAGGGAGATTCTTAAAGAGATTGGTTATAGAGACACCGACCTAAATCTTGCAGCCGATGTGAGTAATTTACATACACATACATAGTTTTTAATGAATTATAATCAGTAGTTATTTAGTAATCCTTAGCAGAACACTTAATGAACTAGAATTAGTATTAACATTGAACTTGAGTTAATCTAAATCAAGAGATGTTAATTATAAAATTGTTAGAGATCAAATTTTAATGAGTTAGCTACCATGTGGAAAAAAGAAATCAGAACTATCATTTCTAGGAATATAGTTATCTAAACCGTACACGTTAAGTTAAACATAGTCAAATCTTGCAAGTTTTGTAAAAATCTCTACATTATGGCTACGTAAATACGTAATCGAATATTATTGTTCATGAGAAGTACGTAAATCTGGACATGTTCTCTAAAAGATTTCTAATATTATGGCGGTAGAATTAATTAAGTAATAATAATAATAATTTTGTGTAGGTGTGTTTTGCAACAATTTTCTCGTTGGCCAGAATGGTGGGTGGACCTTACCTAGTTTACGTAACAATATCAGCTGATAATCCCATCCTCATCAAGGTACGTATATCTTAATATATGAATATGTTTTGGTCTTTACTTATTATC